TTGGAGATTACCTGAAGGGTCTCATAGTCTGACTCCTCAGGCTTTAACCACTACCAGAGCACACAGTAGGAGGCCATCTCAAATCCCCTTTGGCAGGGGTCCCCAAATCCTGGCCCACAGACCAGCACTGGTCTGTGGCCTGTTAGGAACCGGGCCACACAGGGGTGGTGAGTAGTGAACAAGCAAGTGAAGCCAAGCTCCACCTCTTATCAGTGGCAGCACACAGAGTCTTAAGGAGCACAAACCCTATTGTGAACCGCGCATGTGACGGATCTAGATTGCATGCTCCTCATGAGAATCTAATGATGAATGTAATGCACTTGAATCATGCCAAAACCATCCTCCACCCCATCTTTGGAAAAATTGTTTTCCACGAGACTGGTCCCTGGTGCCAAAAAGGTTGGGGACGGCTGATCTTTGCATAGTCTCAAATATAAGGATTATATTAAGCCAGAAATGTTTCTCATTAAGGAATCCTTTGTTTTGAGCTGTAGGTCGTGTTTCAGAACAAGTCTGTCCTCTTCCATGTTGCAATTCCTAAAATATTTGAAAACAAGTATGTCCACTTGAGAGAGAGCTGTGAACTGAACATCCCTGGTAATAAGACATTCCCTTTGATAATGAAAGTTCCCATATTTGAACAGCATGGAATAGAATAACATTGTCTCTCAGATTCTAGTCTGCTATTAAAACCGCAGTTACTTTTGCACCAAACTAACATAGCTAGAATAGGATTGGGGTAGTGGGTAAGTATAGGGTGTGAGTTTTTGCACCAAACTAACATAGCTAGAATAGGATTGGGGTAGTGGGTAAGTATAGGGTGTGAGTGGTGTAGCACATCATACAGTTGTGTAGCACAATTCCAAAGTCCCTTTTATGTGTGCTGTGTTCCCACGTTTCCTGCAGATCTTACTCCTGCACCTCCAAGATCAAATGACTAGGTATGTTTTCATATGCCGAATACTTACCCTACATATGTTTCATACCTAAACATTTGATCTTGCAAGTGCAGGAGTAGGGTCTTCACTTGTTTTGTTAAATATTACCTTGTTTTTCTTGTTCTGGTCTGTTAAAAGTGCCTTTTGATCTACCTTATTCCTTTTCTCTCACTTTCATGTGTCATGTCACATGTCAATTAACATTTTATTTACAGTGAAATTACAAAGATTTGTACATATGTAGGTTTTGTTTTGAGAAAAATGTGATAATTCTTTATATCCTGCTATACCTTGTTCTTTGATCACTTGCAGAGCATTCCTTGGTATAAACATATTCTAACGTATTTCACTCTATTTTTGATTGATGTTTAGGTTGTTTCCAATTTGTTGCTATTAGCACTGCTGCAGTGCATCCCTTCAGTAATATTTTTGTGTCCTATAGACCATTTGCTTCTTTCAAAAATTGTGTGGTTATTTTTGCGGTTATTTTTCCAAACAAACTTTAAACTTATAAATTCCATTCTCACTGGTATTGCACTGAATATGTAATTTGAGGACTGACATCTTAACAATATTGAGTCTCCCCCTCAAATACTGAAATTCTACAGAAATTAAGTACAATTCACATTTTTATATGGACTTAAGCATGGTTCTGTTTGGATTTCAGTTACAATTGGAGGTGATATATAATCGGTTTCCCCTTTCTTTGAGTTTTATGAAATGAGGAACTTCATCATGAAGTCTCAAGTGTATAAATATTTTATCCTTCTTGGGATTCTGTCACTTCTTATGTTTGCCCTTATAGTGATTCAGCTGGTTCTCATTTAAAGTTTTTACACAAAAACAGTTTGGATTATATTTTGAGGTTTTCACTTCAGATACTGGACAAGTAATTACTAGTATAAAGGCAACTAACATGGTCATAATAGAAGTATGGTGTTTACTCTTCACATTTATCTTCCCAAAGTTGTCTTCAGCATTGAAATTTTAATGTTTGACCTTTTTAAATAGGAATTAAGATTCTCGTTACTACTATATATTTGAAGGATATAGAAGCATGATTTCACACTTCATAGTCACGTTATGGGATTATCTACAAAATTTTTTATCTTTTTAAAATTAGATGGTTTCCTAGGCCAAAATCATTTAGATGGTGCTCTTCTGGTATTAGAATCTTTATTCTGTGGGGTTTTTGAAGTGCCTTTTTGTTTTGTTTTCAGAGAAAGTTTCATTGTGCAAATCTAACTTCATGGCCTCGCTGGCTATATTCCTTATATGATGCTGTAAGTAACTTACCTTAAACTTACTTTATATATGGTAGGCCATGTCATAACTAAGGGTCATTAAAAAACAAAGGTTTAGTTTTTCCAGTTTCTAGTGCCTTATAATTTAAGAACAAAATATCCTAAGAGTGGTGGCTAACACCTGTAATCCCAGCACTTTGGGAGGCCAAGGCAGATGGATTGTTTGAAGCCAGGCATTCAAGACCAGCATGGGCATCATGGTGAAACCCCATCTCTACAAATACAAAAATTAGCCGGGTGTGGTGGCATGCGGCTATAGTCCCAGCTGCTTGGGAGGCAGAGGTGGAAGGATCGATTGAGCCTGGGAGGTCAAGGCTGCAGTGAGCTGAGATTGTGTCACTGTACTCCAGCCTGGACAACAGAGCAAAGACTCTGTCTTAAAAGAAAAAATTATCATAAGACTTTATTTTAGAGTTTTACTAAGCACGTGAAATTTTGTTGGGTTGGGTGATAGTTACATTTAGAACATGAAAGCATCCATCTATAACAGTTTTGGTTTTTCTCTAAACAAGTATATTAACTTACATCTCTTGATCATTAGTCTACTAAGTAATGCATCCATGAGGGGTTTTGCTCCTTAAAATTTAACACTAGGCATTGCCACATTTTGCAAAACTAAGTAAGGGACAGTGCTGAAATGGTTTAAAGAATCTGGATTTCAGATCAGAGACTGACTTCAGAGTCTGATGTCTGTCATTTACTCTGGGCCTGGAGCAAATTGCTTCTCCAAGGACCTGTAAAATGGATATAGTGGTAGCTATTGTAGTTGGTGTGCATAGCGGGCATTCAATAAATGCTAGCCATTTCCCTTAATGAATCACTGCCCACTAATCTGGAGTCCTGGGAAAACTCAGCAGCATGCACAATACTAAAGGAAACTGCAGTTGATCTCTGCTCTTTAGCAGCTTTTAAACAATTACAAAGACACAATATATGAGTGTTTTTGCATATGTTTTGCATATGCTTGTGAAAATTATGTAGTAAATAGGTGCCAAGTAAGGTATGTGGATAGCAAGTGCTAGTGCAATTTATAGGTGCCATAATCCCTATGGACTGAGTCAGAAATGGCCTAATAGAAGCAGAAGAGAGGCCAGTTCCAAGCAGGGGCATAGAACAGAGCAATCCGCAAGGGAGTTGGGAGCACATACCGCTGGGATAAGACAGTGAGTGAGAAAAGGCTGGAAGGCAGACTTAATGCTGGGCAAAGGAGCTGGAGCTTGATCATTGCTGCATAAGAAAATGGAGGCATTTAAACTGGGACTGAGATGGGACTGAGTGATTACTTAAATTGCTGCCAATATGTTTTAAGAGTTGAAAAGCTTAATAGTAGATTTTAATAAGTCCATGAACTTGATTATTATACCTTTATTTTAAACAAGATTATACCTTTATTTTAAACAAGGAAACCTTAATGGACAGAATCAAGAAACAGCTACGTGAATGGGATGAAAATCTAAAAGATGATTCTCTTCCTTCAAATCCAATAGGTATGAAGTTAGTTTCCTGCCTGGGGCCTGGGATGTCTTGCTGTAAAAAAATAGCTTTCTAATGGATGAAATAATATATTTTAGTTTTTTTTTTTTTAAGACTGATTAAAACATTTTAATTCTGAAAAGCATAACTTCCTTTGAGCAGTTGAAAAAAGAGTACTTCAAAATTAATTGCGATAAAATCCTTATATTCTGTGAACACTCCAATTTCAGACAAATTGCAGGAAGTGGCTGTCATTCAAAAACACTTCCTGAGTGTGAGGATTCCTTTCTGTGTTTAATTTAAGGTGCCTTTAAAACAAGTGACTCTAGTTCCAGGACTTGCCTTAATTACATAAACTCTCTTCATCTGTTTATAAGGTATAGTTTAGTTATTTTTCTAGTCTCTTGGCAAATAACTTCTAACATGGATTTGAGTTCATGTTTAACGTAAAAGGATTTTACCAAAAAAAGTATAGGAAAAGAAGTTAAATTTAGAGCTTCTGAAAAGTATGTGTTTGACAGCTGGTATATTTTCATAGTTTATATGTGTATGAAATGTGTAACCTTATAGAGAAGGATTTATTTCAAAAGGACATTATCTGATTTGTAAGTTGTCTGATGCTTGTCTGACTCTTAAGTTTAAAACTTGAAAAACCATGTCTTGAAGATTTTTCTTACAGAGTAGCTGCTTGTCTTCCTATTGACGATGTATTGAGAATTCAGCTCCTTAAAATTGGCAGTGCTATCCAACGACTTCGCTGTGAATTAGACATTATGAATAAAGTGAGTAAAGTGAATATGTTTTTGATGACCATGTTTTATTCAGGCTAGAGAACTAGGATGCTCTGTTGGGTCCAATGGAGCTATATATAAGTCCAGTAATGTAGTCATGCAATTCAGATTTCAATTGGGATCTTACAGATAAATTGTTTTGTGTTTGTCAAATATGAATACATTTATCAACTTAGTGAAAAATACTTGATTTCTACATGGAAATATCCAAGGTTATATATCACTATTCTTTTACCCTAGAGAAGGTCATTTAGTTTTATGTAAATATGTGGCAGATCTCAGTTTCAGTGACTTTCTTGCTCCATCTGTAAGTGTTTTTGAATGCTTGGAAGGAAAATGTGGTATTCAGAGAGGGCAATATCTTTATAAGTTTCTTAATCTATGTGATTACATGATAAAATGAATGCCAGTTTTTCCCAATTTTTCTCTCAAATTTTTTAGTGTACTTCCCTTTGCTGTAAACAATGTCAAGAAACAGAAATAACAACCAAAAATGAAATATTCAGGTAAGGTCTTTATTACATTTTTAATATACTTGCCTTATCAGAATTACAATCAAGACTGTATTTCTGTTTTCCATATACTTTCCTCCAATACCTAACAGTTACAAACACTCAGCAAATGAAATATAGGGAATTAGCTCACTTTTGGTAAGACCATCTTCCAGATTGAGTACTCAGATCAACAATGCATGTCAGGGATTATTCACAGGTAATGAGCATGGTAAAGTAAAACAACTGAGCAATTCTTTTCCCCCTAATTCTATATATTAGACTGTCTTAGAAATCTACATAATATATTGTCTTCAGTTAGGCCCTAACATAGATGCCTCAGAAATTACATTTCAGTCATCAGTTTTGCCATACAGGGCCAAAGCAGGACATGCTTCTGAACACTGATGCTCTGATATAACAGTGTTCGATGAATTTGTCATAAAATGATTTTCAGAGTTGTAAATCAAGAATGTAAGGAAACTGCTTTCTGCAAAATAATCAACTGCCCCAAAATGACCACACAGGACCTTGTTATTGCACTTATACTCTCAGACTCCTTTAGAAGCATTTGAATTTTATATTCTTTACAATGTCTGTCTTGAGGATTTTAAAAACAAGTACTATTTCCTTTGGGTCATCACAGAAAACACTTAGACATTTAGACAAAACAGGCCTGTCTGCCAGCTGCACCCCCACTCCATTTTAATACTAAGATCCTGGTATTATGTAAAACTGAAAGATTAAAAACTATATAGCTCATACCTCATTTCTTGGTGAACTTCAGGAAAATTCTAAGCATTTAATAGAATTAGACTTCTCATTTTGACTTGTCCTCCATGTTGATTCTTTGTTTTAGTTTATCCTTATGTGGGCCGATGGCAGCTTATGTGAATCCTCATGGATATGTGCATGAGACACTTACTGTGTATAAAGCTTGCAACTTGAATCTGATAGGCCGGCCTTCTACGGAACACAGCTGGTTTCCTGGGTAATGTTATGGTGGTGGTTGCTTTTTTTTTTTTTACCCTAATTGGGCAGAAAAATCCAGAGTCCTAAGCAGAGTTGCTACAATCTTTATAATAAAAAGTAGACAAATGAGTAATTTTATACAAAAATTAGCCAGGTGTGGGGGCAGGGGTCTGTACTCCCAGCTACTCGGGAGGCTGAGGCACAAGAATCGCTTGAACCTGGGAGGCAGAGTGTTGTAGTGAGGCAAGATTGAGCCACTGCACTCCAGCCTGGCAGCAGAGTGAGAATCTGTCTCAAAAAAAAAAAAAAAAAAGTAATTTTATTTAAATGTCCTTCATTCCACAAATAGCTAGAAACATGTTGCACTTTTTGTATCTTTTATATAGCATCATTGAATGAAAAGTTAAGAAAAGGTTGACAGCTGCAGTTGTCCTCAAATTACTGTATCCAGTTAAATCCAAAATTGTTTTTTTCTGTCACATAATTCTGAAAATCAGCTGTTTTATGACCCAGTAAAACTTTATATCTGGACCGTATTCTGTAGTAATGTAAAACCGGAGAATGTTTACAAAGCAATGATAGACTAAGAAGGTGCAGAACCCATTGAATCCTGCTTTCCTTCTGGTTTGCCCTTTGTTGTTGTTGTTGTTGGCTTCAGCTTAATGATTCTCAAAAGTATGATCCTGGGAACCTGCTCCCTTCCCTGAGCCGTACGATCTTCAACTATCTTCATTTTTCAAAGAGGGTTGCTAAGAAGGGATTACATGCTACTCTGGAGTTAGGACCATGTCACTTGGATTGCCCTATCTATCTCATTTGGCACCCTATGTGAGGACTAAAACTAGAATACATTTGTTACTATAAATAGTAAATGTGGCATACTATACCTAAGGGGAAAAAAAATAATAGTTGCAATTATGTGGTTTATCTTAAAAACAAAATGCCATGGTTTGTATTTCTGGTTGCATTATCTGACAATCATTCTTATTTTAGAATAGTAGTTTTCAAATATTTTTTGAGACGTGTCCGTCCTGGCCCATCCAGTTTAACTCAGACAGAGGTGCCTATTTCTGCAGGTGGTTGCTGTTTTCTAACTTGACTGCAATACAACACAAGTTAGATAGAATGTGGTCTTGGCAACCAGCAATTTGTATAAATAAATTTATAAGATTACTCTTTATTTCTATGCAGAAGAATGTGAACATAGCTTAAGAGCATAAAATTATATATAACAGACTGATGTATTACCATAGGATGTATCCAAATTAGAAAATGTTTTTAGGTTTCAGGGAACTGTATGGATCAAATCTCAACTTAGAATATCTCCTTAATCCTTAGAATTTGCCTCAAAGGTCTGTCTTCATGATAGGTTGATATGATAGATACGATAGGCTTGGAGTACAGAAGTGTTTCCTTAGCTGATATCTTTCCTTATTTTCTTAGGTATGCCTGGACTGTTGCCCAGTGTAAGATCTGTGCAAGCCATATTGGATGGAAGTTTACGGCCACCAAAAAAGACATGTCACCTCAAAAATTTTGGGGCTTAACGCGATCTGCTCTGTTGCCCACGATCCCAGACACTGAAGATGAAATAAGTCCAGACAAAGTAATACTTTGCTTGTAAACAGATGTGGTAGAGATAAAGTTATCTAACAAACTGGTTATATTCTAAAATCAGATCTGCTTTGGAAATTATTGCGTCTGATACATACCTAAGTAAACACAACATTACTTGGAGGATTGCAGTTTCTAAGTATACTTTTGGAGAGCATGAACAGCAGTCTAGAATACTAGAAACATCTACTTGGGTAGCTTGGTACCATTATCCTGTGGAATCTGATATGTCTGGCAGCATGTCATTGATGGGACATGTTTGGAAATGAGATTATTTCCTGCGTAAAAAAAAATCTTAAATTCCTACAATGTGAAACGAATTATTTGATCCTGATGTATGGGACAGCATATCTGTACCAGTGCTCTAAATGACAAAAGCTAGGGTGACAAGTACATGTTCCTTTTTGAAAGAAGCAAGGCAATGTATAATTCTAAAAGGGCTTTGTTCCTTTCCATTTTCTTTAGCTTCTCTGAGATACTGATTTGTAAATTTTGAAAATTAGTTAAAATATGCAGTTTTTTGAGCCCACGAATAGTTGTCATTTCCTTTATGTGCCTGTTAGTAAAAAATAGTATTGTGTATTTGCTCAGTATTTGAACTGTAAGCCCATTTATACTGTTCCATACAAAAGCTATTTTTCAAAAATTAATTTGAACCAAAACTACTATTATAGGGAAAATTTGCCAAAACATGTCCCCTCACACAGGCTACACGTGATACTGTATTTTGTTCAATGTAAATTGAAGAAAATCTGTAAGTAAACCTTAAATGTGAAACTAAACATGTTCTTTGTTCAAATAATATAAAATATCACTTATAATTTTAAAGTTCTAAAAAGAGTGCTTTGCCACACCTACCTCTTTGTTTATATTCAACGGTTTAGTGGGTCCTTTCACATTTGTGTAATAACTTTGGTTTTATTGATACTCTTTTGCTACTTTAAAACTAATCAGGTTAAATGTTTACTCAAACTAGAGTAATAGTATGAGGCCAAAATACATGCCTTCAGTGGAGTGAAATCAGTTGAGTATCACACATTGCGTATTTATGTAAATACAGTAAATGAAAATTCAAGAATGCTTCTATTCAGGATATGCCCCTGCCTTATTTTTTCTAAGCTCTACTTTACTCCTTTTTTTTTTTTTTGAGACGAGTCTTGCTCTGTTGCCCAGGCTGGAGTGCAGTGGCACGATCTCGGCTCACTGCAACCTCTGCCTCCCAGGTTCAAGTGATTCTCCTGCCTCAGCCTCCCGAGTAGCTGGGACTACAGGTGCCCACCACCACGCCTGGCTAATTTTTTGTTTTTAGTAGAGACGGGGTTTCACCATGAGAGCCAGGATGGTCTCAATCTCCTGACCTCGTGATCCGCCCGCCTCGGCCTCCCAAAGTGCTGGCATTACAAGCATTGAGCCACCGCGCCTGGCCTACTGCTTTTAATAATTGTGGGTTTATATGACTTCATTGGTTGTTCATAATAGTTCTTACACTGCACTAAAATTGACTTTAAGTGGATCCCAGGAAGTTCTTTTCAGTAGCATAGTACACCTCTGTAGGCTGAAATCTAAACCAGTTGCAATGAGTTACCTTTCCCCCTGAAAAGTTAGTTATAATTTCAGTATGTCCCATACTGCTTACTAGCAAATAAAATTTTCTGATCTGTAAAAACACACATACAATACTACTGAAAATGGCTTTACACATGACAAAAACAAACCTCTGATAGCTGATTTTGGGTCTAAATCTGTATTTTGGCACTACTTAAATATTTCAAAGTATTATTTTTTAATGCATTTAATTACTGACCTGTGTGCAGTCATTTCTGAGGCTTTCTTGCATCATAGCCCCTGTGACACTTCCTCTTAGAAATATTATACTCTACAAAATTGTTTTATCAAGGTCCAAAATTACTATTTGCTCAAAGAGCACAAAGATGTTATGACTGGCTACACAGAAAGGAAATAAATTATGAAATGTCAGTATAGCAGCTGAAATAAACAGTTTGTGTTATACATTTTATTTACCTAATGAAAGCATTTAGGACTCAAAATCTTTAGAGAACAAATATGTAAGAATGTAAACCATATCCTTTTAATTAATAAAATAACATTTACTTTAAAGAGAGGCATATTACCACTGTATATGACACCTGATATACATTGTCAGATACCACATAAACACATTTATCTTCCAATACCAATGTTTTATTAAAATAATGGGCTCAAGAGTAACCCTCAAGTTAATCCCATGACTGTCCCAGGCCCTGCAGCATAAAGAAATCATTGTGACAGGAAAATACCAACCACATACTAAAGCATAACTTGCTAGAACAAATCCTGTACGTATGAATGCCAGCAACTGGGGACACATTTAGTATTCATATTTTATGCAGACTTGTCAGTTATTTCCTTTTTAAGCCCAAGTTTCTTTTGGAATTCAGATAAGAACTGACACATCATAGTCATTGTTCAAGGTAACCCAGTTATTTCAATTGCAAACAATAAACATTTTTTCTTCAAGACAGTTACTACTTTTTAAGATCTTAGTACTACCCTATGCAAAAACAATTTTTTTAAAAAGCCTGAACAGGTTAAGATAATAGCCAACTATGGAAACTATTCCAAAAGAACTGTACATTTCAGTGATATAAATCGGATCAAGAAAGGTGGATCTCAGTTTAGTTCTTGAAATATATTTCACAAAATAAGACCCTTGTTGTTCTACAGAGGTCCCCTAAACTGTCTTTTATTATGATGTAGTTTCTAAAACCTCATTAAGAGAGAGGGGAGAAAATTAATCTTACCAGAAATGCTCTGCTTTTTAGTAGCCATCAGTTTTAGGTCTTTTTTATGTAACTCAGAAGTTCATCTTTTTCCATTTGGTAACCACTTTTTTTCCACTGTTCTCGCAACTGTTGTAATAGAGCCCCAATTTCTTTTCCTGAAGAAATGCCCACTTTTCTGATGTCATGGCCACTTACAGGAAATGGAGGAATGGACCACTGCTGCATTTCCTTTAGGAGACAGTGCTCTCCTTGGTACTTCAGTAGTTCACATACACGAGTAGTTGCATCAGGTTCCCTAGACTACATGTCAAAATCAAAATTTAGTTTCATCACACATGAAAACATACACTTACGATCTTATCCTAAAAATTAAATACTCAACATAAATTTTTTCCTTTAAAATAAGTTCATAGAATTGTAGATCTTAGTTTTGATAAATTATAAATTAGCGGCAATACTTCGTATTTCTGACCAAGCCGAGTATATACTTACATCTATAATGAAGTCTTGATAGGGTTTCAATGGGTCTGAACTATCTGTTGCTTTAATTAAATCTTTCCTATTTTTAACTATAAATAAGCCAAGGTTTTTCTCTTCTTTTGCGATCTTCAACCTCAAATCCAATTTTGTGACATCATCTTGTACTTTGAATAATGAGGCCAAAAGAGTCATCGGCTTTGGTGAAAAACCTTCAACATTTTTACTGACTTTGTCAAATTCTTCTAGACTTGCATTAGCAGGTAAACCTGTAGGGATAAAAGCATTTTTCACCTGTTTTTAGTGGGGGAAGAAAACCACTCATATCCCAAACTTTGCCACTGTTTCAGTATACAGAAATGCTTTGTCACTAGGATACATCATATAGGTTCAGTCTGATGTTCCAACTTACAGGCGAACCACTAACATATTATTGTTATTCTCTCCCCTGTCACCTTCAAAACCTCTAAAATGTTGTTTCCATTAACAAGCTACATCAAGAGGTCCAGAGGTAGTGGTGATGGTGGTGTCAGACTCACAAGGCATATTCTTTCTAATCACAAATTCCTGACTTTCCACTGATACAACATCCACCCCCTATTCAATAATGTTACTGAAATTTGAAATAATATACCCAAGCTTCCAGAAGTGTGATAAACCATATAATCCCACTGTTCTTTGTGAAAATGAATTACATTTACTGAACAATTTCTGTGTACAAGTTACTCTTCTAAAAGAGCTTTACATGTATTAACTCACTGAATCATTTAGCTTCTTTTAGACAGATGGTATATTACTTTTAAACCCCTTTTTTGGGTTACAAACTAACCCAAACTGCAAAGACTAGATAAGGGGCTGAGCTTCCTTCAAACCTAGATCTGACTCGAGACTACTCTACAAGCACCACAGGCTGTCTTTGAGCTGTTCCCTACTCACAACAAAACGTACCCACCCCATAACCAAAACTTTGTCTTATTTTAAAGTACTCCATTTCATCATCAAGAATTCAACCAAATGAGTCAAACTTTTTTCCTTATGAAATCTGAAACCAGATATTTTGGTGCCAAAAATTCAAATACTTTATAACTTGCTCTCACCTATATAAGGAGCCACATCAAGATCATAGATAAGGTGAATCAAATGATTTACATGGTTACCAACAAGAATTTTTTTCAGTTCCACCCAAATCCTCTCTCCTGATATTCCAGCCAAGCCTTTTGCATTTTCTGCAATTGCTTCCAAAGTCTCAGCATCGTGGTCACCAGGTTTGTCTACAATTCTCCCATAAAACCTACAAGACAAAATCTTCACAGGGTATTACCTCTATATTGGCATGTCACAAGAAAAATCTGTTTTTCATTTTTATTGATACTATCCCATACATCTACTTAATGAAAACAACATAGAATTAGTTAGGTCTAGAAGGGACCTTAGAAAGCAACTGGTCATTTCTCCACCTCCTCTTTCTTTTCCCAGATAAGAAAACCCTACATCTAATAAAGTATAAGTAGCCTTTCTGAGGTTAGCAAGAACTAGAACCTCAAGGTCTCAACCTCACTTCCAAATCATTGACTTAAGACGTTCAGAACAGTCATCAAATGCAATTTCTGAATTGGCACTTGCAGTAGATGGAAAAAAATAGCATTCTTGTAAAGGGAGCAAACCAAAACAAGACTGCAGTGCCTTAACAGAGTAGTCTTAATTCCTCAAAACTTGCCTGTCTGTACACATTAATACTTTCAATGAAAACCTTCAAATATGACTAATCTAGTTGCACACCCTGGAGTATATTTCATGGAATCTTGGCACTGGAAGCCCTAACGTACATGTGTTTTACCACTCATATCCTTAAAATTCTAATGAACACCCTCTATTCATCAGTGGTCCAAAGTTAATGCTAAATAAGTAAATTAATGCTAAATTTGGATTAGTGATCCAAATACAGCTAAGTCTTAATCTATGTTCTATTATTTGTAAGAGAGACTACAGAGACTCAAGTTTAAAAAAACTACATTTATTGACAAAATATCCATGATCTGTTATAGAATATTCTGAGAGCAGTCCCAACCAGTGAAAAATGAGTATTACTTGACATCAACTAGCCAATTCGGATAGTTTTTAAAAAAAGTTAGTGTGTGACATTTAAAAATCACTGCTACTCACAAAACTAGTCGTGCAATTCATATTTACCAACTTTATCCAAGTTTTTCTTTTTTTTTTTTGAGATGGAGTCTTGCTGTCGCCCAGGCTGGAGTGCAGTGGCGCGATCTCGGCTCATTGCAAGCTCTGCCTTCCGGGTTCATGCCATTCTCCTGCCTCAGCCTCCCTAGTAGCTGGGACTACAGGTGCCTGCCACCATGCCTGGCTAATTTTTTGTATTTTTAGTAGAGACTGGGTTTCACCGTGTTAGCCAGGATGGTCTCAATCTCCTGATCAACCTGCCTCAGCCTCCCAAAGTGCTGGGATTACAGGTGTGAGTCACCGCACCCGGCCCATCCGAGTTTTGAGTATGTCTTTATACTCTGATATTTTTAATCATATAACAGGTATTTCTTTTCAGCAAAATCATTTTGTTGTGAACTATCACCCGATTTCCACGACCACCTAAAACCATAAGCTGCATGAAGGCGAACACTTCCACTCATTCATTACCATGTTTAATACACCTAACACAGGGATTGACCTGTGGTAAGCATTCAAACATCTGTGTAACTAATGGATCAATGGAGGAAATATCAATCAAAAAGAAAAATGGGCATTTAAAAAAATGACTTAAACCAGAATTACAGGAAAGATCACATAAAGTATATGTGCATTCTGGGAATGAAAATACACTATGAAGTAGCTAAGTAATTTTCACTCATAAGGCATAGGATGCTAGGTCTCCACTGGAGACAGACATCTGGGATGTCACCATTTTGTACACTGACCTGCTGTGGGTTTCATATGACTAGTGTTATGCTCTAGTGATTATATTAAAACTATCACTTTTTACTTTTAAAAATTCTTACCTGAAGTATCTTAAAATTCTAAGATAATCCTCTTGTATTCTCTGTTTAGCATGTCCAACAAATCTAACTTTCTTATTTTTTAAATCTTCATAACCATTAAAGTAGTCAAATAAAGTGCCATCAAAACCTATTCGTTAGAAGAGAGAAAAATCACTGTTGGCAAATAAGAATTTGAAAACACAAGAAAATCAGCTAAACACTATCACAAACAGTAAAAATTCAGCAGGGTGAAGAGTTATTAAAACACATAGATATTCATATATATCAGCTATCAAATGGAAGACAATAAAAGACAGTCTTTTAGTCTGTTTAGTTGCATTTACAATTGCAACTAAAAAGGTAATTCAAGAATAACCTAAACAAGAAATATGCAAAATTTGTATGAGGTGGAGCGGAGCCAACAAGACACCATACAAGCTAATTTTCACAATATGGGAAAATAAACAATAGCCAAAATAAAATGGAAAAAATACATAACAGGATTAACAGAAGAAACGAAAATATTTCATAATCTTGGAATGAGGAAGATCTTTCAAACTCTACTTAGCAAGAAAACAGAAAACAAAACACAAAACAACAGGATTTTCGAAGAAATAATTGAATGACATAAACAATCAAAAATGCCTGTATGGCAGAAACTACCGTCACACAGAAAGTCATAAGTGACATTTTTGGAAAAATACATGTAAGCCCATATTAAAAGACATGGTTAATTTCCATAATATATAAAAATTATTCTAAATAAGGCCACATAAATAGAAAAATAGGCTACATATAAAGGAAATATAGAAATCTCTTTAATAATGAAGATTTTCAACCTTAGTCATAAATCCATTTTTTGTTCTTTGAGGCAGATTCTCACTTTGTCACCCTGGCTGCAGTGCAGTTGGTGCAATCTCAGCTCACTGCAGCCTCCCAGGTTCAGGTGATTCTCCTGCTTCAGCCTCCCAAGTAGACCTGCCACTACACACAGCTAATTTTTGTATTTTCAGTAGAGACAAGGTTTTGGCATATGGGCCAGGCTGGTCTCGAACTCCTGACATCAAGTGATCCGCCTGCCTCAGCCTCCCAAAGTGCTACGGTTACAGGCATAAGCCACCATGCCCGGCCAGTAAACACACATTTTCAAGATAGCATTTTTCAGATCGGCAATGATGCAAACATTTGATAACAGTGTTAGCAAGGGTGTGGTAAAAACGGGCAGTCCTGTTCGTTACAGATTAGGAGGCTTCACTACAGAGCCTTTAAAACTTTGTGAATTTTGAACCATGTTAATCTATTAGCCATTCACAAAAATGGTAATAAACAAATTCATATGTCAAACCAAAAAAGAAAAAGCGATATAAAATTTTATATACATGTACATAAAACCTTAAGTATTAATTAGTAGAGTGACCACTTCATATTGGTTTGCCTGAGACTTTCCTAGTTTTAAAGCTGAAAATCACACATCCAAGGAAATATTTCAAGCTCAGACAAACTAAGACAGTTGGTTACCATGGAGACTTAAGAAAAAGAAAAAGGAATTGAGAGCCGAAACACAGATACCATTCAGCTAACCAAATGGGGAGGTCAGTGATCCTATGAGATACTTCACTCTGTAGCATTACAGAAAAGAGGCACTGACAACTACTTATCAAAAATACCTCTTGGTTGTGTTTGAACTTGAATGCTCTTTGATTATCCCAAAAGCAACAGTATATTGGTAAGTTCACACTTAATGCTTAACTCTTCCCAAGCTGTTAAAAGTTTTATATGCATAGTAACTTTTAAAAGGGAACCATCTTGACATATATGGCAAATTTCGAAGGCTCCAGATGCAAAAAGACATAAAAGAAAATGAAGATTAAAAAAATACGTAAATAAACAGACAAAAATATGATAACAAAGTAGCAAATATGGTATATCCATCTCAGTGTTATTTCTCCTAATGAAGAGACTTGTAACTCTCCCTGGGGAACCTAAAGGCAAGATCAAAATTTGGAGGAAAAAAAAATCACAGGAATATGATCAAAGCAAAAATAAGGGTTTGGGAAGCAAAGTAACCAACCATAAATGCCAGAACTATGAATGCTTGATCCAATAAGGCTTGGAAAAAGCCAGGATAGAAAACTACACAAAGCTTAGTAAGCATCATATTGGTGTGTATTTTGTTTTGCTCTGAATATCATCCTTTTAAAATACAGTAAATAAAAATATGAAATACAGCTGAGTTGCAGGGAATAATGTAGCGGTTAAGAATGTGACCTCTGGAGTCAGGCTGCCTGAGTTGGAATTCCGATCCTACACTTTACAAGCTGTGCAACTTTGGGCAAGTTACCATCGGTTAAATAGCAGTATCTGCTTTGCAGGGTTGTCAGGAGCTTGTATATAACGTGCTTAGAACAGTGCCTGGTACGTTATAAGGGTTCAGTAAACGTCAGAAAATGATAGTTCCAATAAGAACAGCTTTTATTTTATAAACTAGGACACTGAAAAAGAATGTTAGTTTCTCTCTTTCAGTATGCTTATGAGAAGTCACTTAGACAAGACTCTCTATATTGCACTACTTGGAGCAGTTTCTTCTATGAGTAAATATGAGAATAAATACCTGGAGCTCTGACTATATTGATTGAGAGAAAACGCACCAATTGGGCTTTCTATGGTCATATATTGCCTAGGCTTTGGAAACAAGACAAAATAATCGTTCTCTGTGACTTAAACTAAGTTACTTAGTATCTCTCAGTCTCAAGTTTCCTCTTCTATCAAGTGGGCTTAACACACTTTATGAAGTTTTTCTGTGAGTTTAATGAAATAAAGTGTATCAGGTACCCAGTGTTGTACCTAGAACCCAGTAGGTACCCTAGAAATTGTATCTGCCATTACTGTAATCAGCAAGAGATCCCACCTTAGCTTATAAACTTCTTGCCCATCCATGCATGAAGCAAATCCTATTACTTCATCCTTTTACCACTATTGTTACTACAAACTAGGTTATGAATAGCAGATGTTTCATCCTTTTTTAATCCAAAATCTTAAACATAAAGGGCTTGTCTTAACTTTAAAGTACAACATATGATGCATCAGTAACGTATCAAAACACTAACCTAATTCATATCTACCCCCCATATAATTCCCAGTGCTTTCATTAAACATAAAAGTTAAGCTGAAATAAATAGGTTTCATCTTACATACCGACTCTGATTATTGATGACTGCTAGAAAACAATGCTAAAAAAGAATCTGAGGTTGTGTGTAGGCTCAGCAGTAAAATAAGGTGCTGAAGTCATTCACCACTGTTTGCCAGGGAAGCAGAAGAAAGAGTGAACACACATGCATGAAAGGTAGTGCAAAGGAAAAAGAATGATCCTGGGTGTGTGTGTGGGTGTGTGTGGAGTGTGTACATGTACCGTGTGTGCATTTTCCTTCCCTGAAATGTTAATGTTGTTCAGATGCAGTTAAGAAGTTAGCACTGACTGAATGTGTACATGTGTCAGGCACTGTTCTAAGCATTTATAATTATTAACTCTTAAACCTCACAACAGCTATACAAAGGAAGCCAATATTAATTAACGTTTTTGTTTTGTGGCTAGTGAGTGATGGAGTCAGAATTTGACCCCAAGGATTTTGGCTCCAGAGTCCACTCTTTTTTTTTTTTTTTTTTTTTTTTTTTGAGACGGAGTCTCGCTCTGTCACCCAGGCTGGAGTGCAGTGGTGTCATCTCGGATCACTGCAAGCTCCACCTCCCGGGTTCACGCTATTCTCCTGCCTCAGCCTCCCGAGTAGCTGGCACTACAGGCTCCCGCCACCACGCCCAGCTAATTTTTTGTAGTTTTAGTAGAGACGGGGTTTCACCATGTTAACCAGGACGGTCTCAATCTCCTGACCTCATGATCTGCCCACCTCAGCCTCCCAAAGTGCTGGGATTACAGGCATTGAGCCACCGCACCTGGCCCAGAGTCTATTCTTTTAAGCAATCTGCTAAACCATCTCTTAGAAGAAATTAACGCAAATTCTGAAGTTGAATAACGTTTCCAGAATGTAGGTTTTACTTGAAAAGAAGGCATTCTGATAGACTCAAAATATGGTTTTATCTGCAAGTATTACCTAAAAACATAGAATTTATAGTGAGATCTCTGCGTTCCGCATCTTTCTGCCAGTCAGTTGTAAATTCTACCTCAGCATGTCTTCCATCAGTGGTGACATCAATCCGTAGTGTAGTAATCTCAAAGTTTTCTTCATGAAGCTGCAATTAAATACATGGGGTTTTTGTTGTCATTTAAATTCGGTTTCCATACTACTGAATTGAAAAAAAATAAGTTTTTGTCTTTATAAAGAGATGGTACTATAAGCCCTGACAGTTATAGTCTTTTTAACATCAACTACCATATCTAAACATTGAAACAGAAAGATATCCACGTCATTCAAAAACAGATCCAAAGACTGATTTTTTTTTTTTAAATACCCATCATGATTAAAAAAGATGAGTTTAACATACAAACATGTCACCTCTGCCAGGTGATGTGGAGAAACCCTCAAAAATGTTCTTCAATTTCAAATCAAGCTATTATCTGAGACACTTTTAATAGCTCCTGTTTGCAAAGAGGTGAATGTCAATTTATGGAACATATGCCATTGAGCAAAAGACTGATAAACAGTAAGTACAGTTAACAGATCCTGCAACTCCCTTACTGATAATTCCCAGGGAAATTAAAATAAAGGCTGCGGTGGTGGCTCATGCCTGTAATCCCAGCATTTTGGAGGCCAAGGCAAGTGGATGACTTGAGCTCAGGAGTTCAAGACCAGCCTGGGCAAGATGGTGAAACCCTGTCTCTACCAAACAAACAAAAAAAACCAGCCAGGTGTGGTGGTGCATGCCTGTGGTCCTAGCTACCTGGGAGGCTAAGGTGGAAGGATCGCTAGAGCCCGGGAGGCAGAGGCTGCAGTGAGCAGAGATCACACTGTGCACTCCAGCCTGCACAACAGAGTGAGACTCTGTCTCAAAAGAGAAAGAAATAAATTAAAATAAAGAGTTACCTCTATCATAGGAAGACAGACTACCTCCAGCTGGGGAAGCTGTGTAACTTCGTGATAGGGTGGCATCTGTGCCAAGCCTTGAAAAAGCAGCAGGGTTTGTACATGCAGCTGTGGTAGGAAAATTTCAAATGAAGAGAAAAGATGACCAAAGGCATGGTGGAGAAAGAGGAATATATGTAAAAGAGAAAGTATATTTGACAGACAGCATATTAGCATTTAGGAGTAGAGAATAAAGTGTTTTATGTGCCAAGAGTTAAGAATGTCTTCATTTAGGAAGTGAAAGCCATTCATGATCACCAGAAGTCTGTTGTAAGATGTCTCTCAATTTCATACATACTCTTCTCTAGATACAAGCTACATCTATCTCTCACTATAGAATTCCAGAACTCAAGAATTTGAGGCACACGTATCTCTGAAGGCAAAGAATAAGGTAAGGTTTGAAATAGGAAAACTGTTTGAAACTCATTTTAAGAAATAATCAGACCCACCTAGAATGACTCCCTTAACGAGGCCGAAAACCAGGGAATGACCCTCTAGAAAGGTTGAACCAAAAATAATCAGAACTTGTTGCACCAGGCACAGATGCTCATGGGAATGAAGCATCATAATGAAAACAAAATTAAAGTGAAAATTAACATGACCCTCATCCCTTTCCCTACTTGGTTTCAAGATGCTAACAATCAGGCTCATTCCCTGGCATAATACTGGAGTATTCTTCTCTGATTTCTCCTAATGAAAACTCCTACTGAGACTTACACTGGGAGTCCCAACTGGCTGACACTTCCCATGCAAAACTACAATAAAGCCCTCAAGTATACAGCATCACCCAAATATAAAGGCAGAGCCAAAGAATACCCATATTTAAAGAAAGCCAACATGAAAGAAAAAACTCAGAAGAAACAAAGACATTGTCAAAATAACTATAGTAGATATCCTAAGAGAAATAAAAGATCTTGCATCTGAAACATGAACGGGAAGCTTTCCAAAGAAATATACTAAGAAAGACCTCTTGAAATTCTACAAGACCACAGAACTTGCTAGTATTATATAATGACTGGGAGACGAAGTTAAGGCACTCTCATAGAAAGTAAAAGACAGGAGAATGTAAAATAAAGACAAAAGATAAAACTAGAAGGTCAGTCCCAGCAATCCAGCATCCAAATAATAGGAGTTTCCAAAGGAAAAAACATTTAACAAAAGGGATGAAATTATGAAAGAAACATAAGAAGGCCCACTAAGTGCCCTGCACAATAAGTGAAAAATCCAAAACAAGTTATATCATCTGGAAATTAAAAACATTAGACATAAAAAGATCAGAAAGACTTCCAAAAGGAAATAATGGCAGTCAGGTTTTTAAACAAAAGAGAAATCTAAATGGAACTAGACTTAGTGGCAGTACTGGAAGCTAGAAAACAATACCTTTAAATTTCTGAGTAAAAATTATTCCCAGTCTAAAATTCTATAACCATAACTATCAAACCAGTGTGGAGATAAAATACAAACATTTTCAGACGTGTAAGGCTTCCTCAGGTACTGGATTATTAAAATGAGGGCTTAAGCCAAGAGAGAACAGCACATGGGACCCAGAAAACAGGAGATCTAACAAAATAGAGAGGCCAAGGAAATTCCTAAAAGTCCATACTGAAGCAGGAAGACAGCACCAGGTAAGATGTTTCTCAAAAACGCAACTGAAACTTGATGTAATGTGTTTAAATCTTTTGAGAGGAACTCTACAGTTCTGGCAGAGTGCAGGAATAAATTAGTGGTACATGGAAAGCTATGTAAAAGAAAAATGCTATTAACTGCAGGAAAATTAAAAACCATGCCAATAGAAGAAATGTAATCACAATATACTCCACAATCTGGCTGTAAACAATACAGAGTCGTAAACGTGAACCCTGAATATTGACTTAACCAAAAATTATGATATAAATATACTAGGAAGATAGAAGTAGGAGAATTACATGTGCTTGTTGTTGAGAAGGGTGTGGTAAGAAAGCTAAATCATCTTCCCTCATGGAAAGTCAATACATAACACATCTTAAAACTGTGATAGTAAAAACTAAAAAGTAAACAGCGTAGTACACAAAGGTCTTTTTAGAAATGGAGAAATAACATAAAACTTAAACATGACTGCAAGAACAGAGGACTGCAGGGTTTCAGACAGGGGTAGAAGAGACTGACTTTTTTTATTAGACTTTTCATTATTTGCTCTTAACTAGAGAAAATTATTAAGTTTTAAAAAATTACCAAAAAAAGCAATGTAATTAACTGTCAAACTTTTGACTCACCCTGGCAGTAATTGTTCCGTGCTTTTCTCCTTTGTTGTTTATCATCCGAATCCCAGCCGACTGAAACATCTCCTTCATTTGAGTAGGGGTAGCAGTAGTGGCAAAATCTACATCCTGAGGCTTTACTCCATTTAACAAATCCCTCACTGCTCCTCCTGCTATTCTTAATTCGTGATTCTCTTTGACAAATAATTCTGAGATAAGAGAAAAAAAGATTTTTATTCCCAAGTTCTTTATTTCAATGTGTTTAACCACAAAGTATGAGGCTTTTCCATCTAGTTGGACAGCAGAGATTCATTTAACTGAGGCTTTTCTTATGAAAAATGAGAACAAGGCCCAAAGAAGTAAAAAGACTTGTCTTCAGGAGAGTGCCTCTGAGGACCAACGGGAAACAGGGAACTTGCAGAATTTTCCTTTGCTTATTCAGAAGATAATTCAGAATTCCACAATGCCTCAAAGTGATCAATACAAATTTGAAGTATTACTAAAGACTAAAGCAGGTTAGGCGCAGTGGCTCACACCTGTAATCCTGATACTTTGGAAGGCTGAGGCGAAAAGATCACTTGAGACCAGGAGTTCAAGATCAGCCTGGGCAAACAGCAAAAACTCTAACTCTACAAAAAATAAAAATAGCCAGGTTCAATGGCGCACACCTGTAGTCCCAGCTACTTGGGAGGCTGAGGTGGGAGGATGGCTTGAGCCCTGGAGTTCAAGGCTGTGGTGAGCTATGATCATGCCACTGCACTCCAGCCTGGGTGACAGAGCAAGACCTTATCTCAAAAAAAAAAAAGAAAAAAGGAAATCAAACAATTCTACTTTCTTTTCCCCATTTATGTGCATACTTTAGAAATGGTAACATGTTCTTTTATTTCTCTGTGTGTATAAATAGATGTTGAGGCAGGATGTTCATGCATCAAACTATCAGACAACATTAGTCTATACCACTTATGATAAATGTTTATAGCTAAAAGTCCTTCAAGAAATGTGTATATAATTCTAAAATCAACTCCTATCTGTGCTCTAGGTAGAACCGTTTGGACACTGAACAACTACAAGCAAGTATATAGCTGAATCCTCTATATGTACAGGATAAGGCAAAATCCACTATAACTATATCCATATGCCCACGTGGAACCTAGTGAGAATGGCATCCAGGAGCTGGCCTGTCACAATATTAGGTCCTGGGGTCCTGTGGAACAGAAACAATTTCACAAAACATCAATATCTAGATAAGCCCATTCTGTGCCATGATGGATCGATCAAGACAACTCTGTAATCACCTAAACATACACAAAACATGAACACTGTCCATGATACATCCTACAATAGTTGGTAACAGTGACTGTGCCTTACCAATTAGGTTTAGTCTCACAACTGTACTCAACTTCTAGGAAAGCATTATTAAGACACCCAATCGGAGAATTACTTCTGCTTCCTGAGAGCATCTAACCCACTGCAAAGCTCTACTACCTTAAATGCTCTCCAAAATGACCCAATATAAACCCAACTCCTATAAGAAGTCATTTCTAAAGCCCTCTTACTGAGTATACCTCTGGGTTCTCCAGGGTCAGCATGCTACTCCTCACTCAGCATGTTGCTCCTCACTGCCAGGAGTAACAACCCAACTTGTGTCTCTGTTGGTCTTTGGCTAGTGGGCAGTGACACGAGCATTCAAATAAACTCATCATACATCAAAGTTCCAGCACCTCTAATCACAACTCAGAACATAATCCTCTGTCCCTACCTCAACGTCTTCTGTTCTCTATCCTGCCCACACTCCTCTTCTACCTATTCTTCCCACATCTTTCAGCCCCATTCTCTGTAGACTCCTTAAAATGATTTGCTTAAAAATAACAAATGCGGGAGCATGCCCAAGATGGCCGAATAGGAACAGCTACAGACTCCAGCTCCCAGCGTGAGTGACACAGAAGACGGGTGATTTCTGCATTTTCAACTGAGGTGCAGACCGACACCTCACACCTCACACGGCGGGGTACACCCCTGAGACGAAGCTTCCAGAGCAAGAATCAGACAGCAACACTCACTGTGCAGCAATATTCTATCTTCTGCAGCCTCTGCTGCTGATACCCCAGCAAACAGCATCTGGAGTAGACCTCAAGCAAACTCCAACAGATCTACAGCTGAGGGTCCTGACTGTTAGAAGGAAAACTAACAAACAGAAAGGACACCCACACCAAAACCCCATCAGTACGTCCCCATCATCAAAGACCAAAGGCAGATAAAACCACAAAGATGGGGAAAAAGCAGTGCAGAAAAGCTGGAAATTCAAAAAATCAGAGCGCATCTCCCCCTCCAAAGGAACACAGCTCATCGCCAGCAAAGGAACAAAGCTGGACGGAGAATGACTTTGATGAGTTGAGAGAAGAAGGCTTCAGTCGATCAAACTTCTCAGAGCTAAAGGAGGAACTACGTAACCAGCGCAAAGAAACTAAAAACCTTGAAAAAAGAATGGATGAATGGATAACTAGAATAATCAATGCAGAGAAAACCTTTAAAGAACAGATAGAGATGAAAACCATAACACGAGAAATATGTGACAAATGCACAAGCTTCAGTAACTGACTGGATCAACTAGAAGAAAGAGTATCAGCGATTGAAGATCGAATGAAATGAAGCGAGAAGAGAAGTGTGGAGAAAAAAGCGTAAAAAGAAATGAACAAAGCCTCCAAGAAGCATGGGATTATGTGAAAAGACCAAATCTACATCTGATTGGTGTGCCTGAAAGTGACGGGGAAAATAGAATCAAGTTGGAAAACACTCTGCAGGATATCATCCAGGAGAACTTCCCCAACCTAGTAAGGCAGGTCAACATCCAAATTCAGGAAATACAGAGAATGCCACAAAGATACTCCTCGAGAAGAGCAACTCCAAGACACATAATTGTCAGATTCACCAAAGTTGAAATGAAGGAAAAAATGTTAAGGGCAGCCAAAGAGAAAGGTCGGGTTACACACAAAGGGAAGCCCATCAGACTAACAGCAGATCTCTCCACAGAAACTCTCCAAGCCAGAAGAGAGTGGGGGCCAATATTCAACATTCTTAAAAGAATTTTCAACCCAGAATTTCATATCCAGCCAAACTAAGTTTCATAGGTGAAGGAGAAATAAAATCCTTTACAGATAAGCAAATGCTTGGAGATTTTGTCACCACCAGGCCTGCCCTACAAGAGATCCTGAAGGAAGCACTAAACATGGAAAGGAACAACAGGTACCAGCCATTGCAAAAACATGTCAAAATGTAAAGTCCATCGATACTAGGAAGTAACTGCATCAACTAGCAAGCAAAACAACCAGCTAATATCATAATGACAGGATCAAGTTCACACATAACAATATTAACCTTAAATGTAAATGGACTAAATAGTCCAATTAAAAGACACAGACTGGCAAACTGGATAAAGAGTCAAGACCTACCAGTTTGCTGTATTCAGAAGACCCATCTCACATGCAGAGACACACAAAGGCTCAAAATAAAGGGATGGAAGAAGATCTACCAAGCAAATGGAGAACAAAAAAAAAGCAGGGGTTGCAATCCTAGTCTCTGATAAAACAGACTTTAAACCATCAAAGATCAAAAGAGACAAAGAAGGCCATTACATAATGGTAAAGGGATCAATTCATCAGGAAGAGCTAATTCCTAAATATATATGCAACCAATACAGGAGCACCCAGATTCATAAAGCAAGCCCTTAGAGACTTACAAAGAGAGACTCCCAGACAATAATAATGGGAGACTTTAACACCCCACTGTCAACATTAGACAGATCAACGAGACAGAAAGTTAACAAGGATATCCAGGAATTGAACTCAACTCTGCACCAAGCGGACCTAATAGACATCTACAGAACTCTCCACCCCAAATCAACAGAATATGCATTCTTCTCAGCACCACATCACACTTATTCCAAAATAGACCACATAGTTGGAAGTAAAGCACTCCTCAGCAAATGTACAAGAACAGAAATTATAACAAACTGTCTCTCAGACCACAGTGCAATTAAACTAGAACTCGGGACTAAGAAACTCAATCAAAACGGCTCAACTACATGGAAACTGAACAACCTGCTCCTGAATGACTACTGGGTATATAACGAAATGAAGGCAGAAATAAAGATGTTCTTTGAAACCAATGAGAACAAAGATACAACATACCAGAATCTCTGGGACACATTTAAAGCAGTGTGTAGAGGGAAATTTATAGCACTAAATGCCCACAAGAGAAAGCAGGAAAGATCTAAAATTGACACCCTAACATCACAATTAAAATAACTGGAGAAGCAAGAGCAAACACATTCAAAAGCTAGCAGAAGGCAAGAAACAACGAAGATCAGAGCAGAACAGAAGGAGATAGAGACACAAAAAACCCTCCAAAAAATCAACGAATCCAGGAGCTGGTTTTTTTGAAAAGATCAACAAAATTGATAGACCGCTAGCAAGACTAATAAAGAAGAAAAGAGAGAAGAATCAAATAGATGCAATAAAAAAATGATAAAGGGGATATCACCACCGACCCCACAGAAATACAAACTACCATCAGAGAATACTATAAACACCTCTACGCAAATAAACTAGAAAACCTAGAAGATATGGATAATTTCCTGGACACTTACACTCTCCCAAGACTAAACCAGGAAGAAGTTAAATCCCTGAATAGACCAACAGCAGGCTCTGAAATTGAGGCAATAATTAATAGCCTACCGACCAAAAAAAGTCCAGGACCAGACGGATTCACAGCCGAATTCTACAAGAGGTACAAGGAGGAGTTGGTACCATTCCTTCTGAAACTATTCCAATCAACAGAAAAAGAGGGAATCCTCCCTAACTCATTTTAAGAGGCCAGCATCATCCTGATACCAAAGCCTGACAGAGATACAACAAAAACAGAGAATTTTAGACCACTATCCCTGATGAACATCGATGCAAAAATCCTCAATAAAATACTGGCAAACCGAATCCAGCAGCACATCAAAAAGCTTATCCACCATGATCAAGTGGGCTTCATCCCCGGGATGCAACACAACATACGCAAAGCAATAAACATAATCCAGCATATAAACAGAACCAAAGACAAAAACCACACAATTATCTCAATAGATGCAGAAAAGGCCTTTGACAAAATTCAACAGCCCTTCATGCTAAAAACTCTCAATAAATTCGGTATTGATGAAACGTAT